GGTTGGAGCAGCAGTTACACGCAGAAGATCAGATTGTGGTGTTTGTGGCCAGGTTTTCACAGGAGCTTAGCGATCAACGTGCACTCTTTCAGAATTCTGGTTTTCATGTGTGGTTGCTGAGCTATTTTTGAAAGCCTATCTGGCTGCACGAAACGTACTTGTTAGCACTTGGTTGCTTATCCACCTAGTATATGGTTAGTTATGTGACATATAAAACCAAATGCAGCACTCATCTTCCACAATTAAGTAAATATTATAATAAAATAATAATAATAAAACCAGAAAGAAACAAATGAAAAATAACCAAGGAAAACAGACAAAATCAATTCAGAGTTTAAAATCTTGTAAAAGAAATCACAGAGGTCGTAGTTTTGCAAAATATATGAACAGATACTCAATCCTACCCCTGTTCAGGCAGTCGTGCTAAGCAGATACATTTAACTCATTGATTTCAATGAAATTTAGACTTCATGAGTTTGAAAGACAAGAAAGCAAATATGAGGGAGGTTAAAGTTGGCAGACAAGTAGAGAAAGTAGGAAAAAAAACCAAGAAAAAGAAATTATGCACAAAAAGAATCGGTACGTTTCAAGTTGAGCCACTGGACAATTATTGTTTAGTAAACCTAACAAAAGCAACATACAATGAAAATACAAAAACCATCAATGCATTCAATTTGGAACCTTGCTATTTAGTGGCATAAAAAGATGAAATTCAAGCCTGCAACACTTGTGCTCTGACAATGTAGCCTACTCAATGAAAACTCTGTAAAATGAGATCATACTCTCAAAAGTGTAAAAGTGTAATCTCAAAAATGTAAAAGTGATTACACTCTTTACAATGAGATCATAAATTTTAGAAAAGATTTTTGGAGATCTGTTGGTGAAAAAGGATTGCATCAGAAAGAGATTTTCAGAGAGCTCTTTCACAACATCTTCCTAATTTTTTGACTGCCTCTTTACAACCCCCTGATTTCTGTTACCCTTGCCAAAGAAATGACAGAAGATGCCAGCTTTTAGGCATACATTGCAAAATAACCAAGGATGAAAGAGAGGAACATGATACTTTTAGAACAAATTCAAGAATGCACATACAAAACATGGATGTTAAGAGCAATGCTACACTCCAAGGCTGGAACAGACTTCAAGAGGTTATGTCACCCATGCCTTTCCCCTAAGGTAGATTTTAATGTAAGCCTGGAAGAGAATGAAAAGAACTGAATTATGATCCAGGATTTTTGGTCAAGTGCAAAGATGAAGCATCTGACCTGAAAAGCCACCGCTTACTTAGGGAAATTCCCACTGATCATCCTAGACTGCCACCAGATCACAAATATAATTATGATTAATAAATTCAGATTCAGAAATGAAGCACTTTTTGATGAATCACAACACATATGACATGGCTTTTTATGCATGCTGAAGGCTCCCACAGCTATTCCATGTCTGAACCACTGAGAAAAACTGGATAAAACATGACTAAAATTCCAAAGTCTTCACTTATGTCTCCACCTAACTTTTAAGAACTGTGGCCATCATTTTGTGCTAATAATGTTATTTAAAATTAAGTTTCTTCAAAGCACCACTTCAAAAGCTTCAAGATCCGAGTTCAGTTAAAAAACAGCACAGACTTGGGCTCAGGTTATATGAATTCTCATTCCTAACTGTGTTACAGATTCTGAATGGGATTTCATAAACCACTTAATCACACTGCACCTGGATTTCCATCTGTAAAACTTCCAAATTTCATTGCAAAGGACTTCAGAATATTACCTAAAGTGCTAGATATATGCACAGCAGCTCTTCACAATACTGATCTTATATTAGGTGCTTTTAGGCTGATCTACAGCACAAGTCAAGACTTTTATCTTTTTTCTAATTCCTTAAGAAAAAAAGAAGAAAAACAGAAGATGGTTTCCTGTTCTGCCAAAAGGAAGAGAGGGTGGGTGCAAGGCTAACATACAAAACATGCCCAGGTTCACCACTCTTCCTGTTTGTCTCTGCAGTTACATGACAGATGACTTTTAGCTACTTGCAGCTTTGCTAATAATTTGAATGTTGGCAACCACTTTCTTGCATGCTCTGGTGAAAGAATAGTGTCTCACTCCAGAGAAATGCCTGAGCATCAACACTGCTGCCCAAGTGCTAGAGGCAGGAAGTGCAGCTGCTGGTCCATGAGAGTGAAAGTGACTTCTCTACAAAGAGATTTTTATACTTTACATTTACAAACCAGGCTTTTAAATTCAAAGAATAAACCTAACTTTTCAAGGATTTTGGGGGGAGTTTAGCAGCCTTAATAACTGTTTACATCCTTCCAGAACTACTGACAAACACACAAAGTGGGAAAAACAAATTATAGGCAACAGTTTTATACCTTCTGACTTTCTTCTTTTCTCTGCTCAGAATCACAGCAACCTTGATGTCTGAAAGTCATAGATAGAGAACAAATATGAAAAACTTTATAGAATTTTACAGGTGGAATCGAGTTTTTCACAGCTTTGACATGTTAGAATCTTTTAACTCTTAAAGATCTTCCTGGTTGCCAGAAATCAATGAAACCTGTAGCCTCACTCACTAAAACCCAGAAAACTGAGATGCAGTATACTAGAAAAGGTAACACAGAACCAGTTGCTCGAATCCACCACAGTACCATATGCTGCAAATAGTTCCAGACAGGATGTCTGCCTGCAGCAGAGTGTGCACATCAGCTTCTGTTCTTCAAAGCTGCACAGCAACAGTAATACAATCTAGCAGAACTAAGGTTTAACAGCTCTGTAATTTCACTACAACTCAGACATCTCTGTTCAGCACTATGTTGTATTCTCTACGTGCTGTTATTTTTCAAGCACATTCATTTCTGAGTAATCATTTTATACTATTTTATGTTTTAATTCAAGCAGAAAAATTTGATGCAGGCTATGAGAAACCAGATAACTTGTGCAGAGGGTGAAATAAAACAATTGGAATGGTGTATTATGTCATAAAAGCTTGGCATTAATAGGCTTGGCTGCCGTAATATGGGTCAAATTTGACCACCTTACAGTGCCTTACTTTGCTTGTGAACCTACTGCTGTAATGAGTAAGGCTGTCTGAAAAATGATGGACTGTTTCCCACATATGTGTGACAGCATTTGATGGATACACATTCACCCTGAATGCCATGTAAGAAACATAAATAAACCAACCTAAGGTGAGGCTCAGAAACTCCAGCTACTTACAAGGCAGCTCCCAACAACAAGAAATGTTTAGCACATACTCTGACATAAGCAAATAAGATCCAGCACTGCATCTTCACAACAGAGAGGGCAATATTTTTACAGCTTCTGTCCCTCTGCTTTCCAAGTGAAGCATCCCTTCTGTAGTTTCCTCACAAATGTGAATTGTGCAAGACCGCTGCAAAGACACACAGGAAAGACTGATGCAAAGAAAAAATCGGATTCGGTACACAGAAAGCCTCTTTCCTCTTTTGTTTTATTGTTTTTAGTTCTTATCACTAAGCTGTTACCTTTATCATTTTACTTTCTCAAAAGTTTGCAAATAAATGCTTAATATCAACTCAAGCTACTAAAGACAGGTTTAGGAAAGGTTTAACGTGAAAACCTTCAAATTTCAAAATTCATCATCTAGCTAAAAGTATGGTGTTCCTAGTAGCATTCGGGGAGCTTTTGCATACTCAAAGGCCATCTAGTGACTAAACTTAAAAATAATACACTTTTAACATGGCAATATTCAAGTCATAATACCCATCAAACAATGGAACAGGTATTCCTACTCAACAGACCTGTTCATTAATACTAAAGAACAGAAAGCATCCGAAGTATGAAAGTAGGGCATAGTTTGAAAATAAACATAATTTTTTGGAAGTAATGACTCTATTCAGAACGGCATCAGCAGAAATTCCTGTTGCATACTACACTCAGAATCTTCTCTTCCATGTCCTACTCAACTGAACCTTGAACATAACACAGATCTACTTCCCACTGCTGGGCATTTACAGGGATGCCTGTGTTAGGTAGTCTCAACATCATTAGGAATCACAAGTCAGGTGTTTTGGGTTGTGATCCAGCAGATGTGCACAAGCTACCTTCACATGGAACCTTTCTCAATTGGAATTCCATTTCGAAAAATGGAAAGGTGCCTGCTGAGTTCCTAAAACTTGGTTGTGCAATTAGTCTATCAAGATTAACAGCAGGAGAGATACTCTGATTTCCATCCCAGCCTAGGTCAGAGCCTGCTGATCGTGAAGAGTTCATTATACCATGACAGTATACTGCACTGGTGTTACCACAGGCAGCTTTTACTTCCAAGGACGGTCACACTAAAGGTAGCTTTTGGTCTGATGATCAATTAATGTCAATTCCTTATGACCATTCTGTACAGAACAGATGGCAGGGTCACTTGGGCCACAGAACAATTCCTGGATGATGAATAAAACCCCAAATCAACATTTCTGGTTGAAAAGCATGATGTGTGGTCTTAGAAGCATAATTTCCCTGAAACTATAACATTAATGTGATACAGTAAAGAATCAGGCCTTAATGTTCTATGACAAATTCATACTTAATCAAAACAGGTTGCATTTCAGCCTACTGTGAAAAAAGTAGATGGATAAAATCTGTTATAGCATCATCTCAGTAGACATATCTCTAGTCAATTTGTATCAGCTTCCTTGACTATTTTTATATATCTGTGCTGGATGGTCCTTTAGGTTTATACAGACCTAAACTGACCACTTCAATGAGTTACCACTGTAGGCCATTTACTATTGACTCAATTATTAAAAAAGACTCTCAAAGTTCAGCCCTGAATCTGAAAGCCCGTGGTGCTTCTTGTGTTAACAGACTTCAGACTTCATTCAAGTTATTAAAAAGAAAAAAGAGCGTTCCCTCCAAATTTTTCCATTCCTTTAATCAAGATCAGATTTTTAACTGCTTTTTCCCTCTTCTCTAAGTAACAAGAACTCAAGAGGCAGTATCAAAATCATGCTAATAAACAAAACACACTGTGCAGTGCTCGTGTAGTGAGGCTTTGAAGTTTGCACATGGTTAAGTGGAAATAAGTCTACATCGCCATTGTCAATGTCTTCAAAATATACTGCACCAGCACAGCCACTGTTTGGGTAGAAAGGAAACCAAAAATATGTACATTATTCATAAGACAGCTGGTGGAGGCAGCTGAACAATACACTGCATGCTCCAAAATTCTAATTATTTATTAAAATGGTCCACAAGAAAAAAACCCCACAGAGGTGAACTGGCCCGGCGTGCTTGGCATGTCCCAAGATGAAAACAATTATCTGCTGAACTTGCAGCACACACCAAATGACAGCTCTAGTACATATGTGCAGGAAAAATCTGGAAATAAGATAGAAATGTGTCATCTCCGTCCTTTTGGCTCATAATCAGATTGGGATATTCTTACAAAGAGGAGATAATGGATTCTGATTTCTAGTTTACTGGTAAAAGGCTGGAGACACCCACAAGCCAGGGAAACTCAACACACACGCTTCTCAGAAAACACCTTAAGATTAGATAACATAGTCCATCTACAACTCTTGTTTCAGAAGATGAGAGAGGGACTGCTTGAGCTAATAAAAAATGTAGAAAGTAGAAACAACCCAGGGACATTGTACTTACGTATACAAAGGGATATGACAGGTTCAAGAGCTTTGGCTTACACTGTTAAAGACAAAATAGATCAATCACTTTTTTTTCACCAGACAGAACATTCTGATAGAATATTTATGAGGGCCTAAAAGACAGGTGGTGACAAGTCAAGGTTTTGCTCTTGGAATGATGCAGTGCCCATTTGAATTTGTTAAAATACTGTGGTAAATAATTAGGTTGGTGTGCATGTGATTCTCATCTCTCTCATGTTTTAATCTCCTCAGATATTGGAACTTCAGTAAATTTCATAACCATGTTTTCTTTAAAAATGAACTGCTTCTCTTCCTGTAACACTTCTCTCATTCAGTTCTTGAGAACACAGGGCAACTTTACATCAGGTCTGAATTTCTCTCTTGGTCTCTCCCTGAAACCGACTCTGGCCATCAATGCCTATATTCTTTGAAAGAGTAACATTCAAGAAACCATGATAGATTTTTCTGTCTACCTATGGCATTTTTCTTCCACCCTGCAGAGGTACCTGTCTCTCCCATTGCATGCCTGACTCTGCCCACTTACACACATGTCCACTGGGTTTGCCTGAGCAGATCGGCTGTCTTGTGGCCTGGAAAGAGAGATGTGTTTGCTTCCAGCAGGGGCAAGAAGTAATTTCTGCCCCTTATCAGACTTGTAAACAACCTGGTTCATTCTGCAATCCCCATGCCCACCTCTGTGTTAAGCCCTACAAATAGAATAACAACTGCAAATTGGATATGGGGGCTTTGTCACCAGGTTTCCAGGTACAAATATACCTCCATGGTCAAATTCTGAGGTCCTCTCAAACACTGCAAAGAAAACTTGAGACCACAGAGAAAGGGGTAGAAACTTCTGTTGTCATGCGAGCGAGAGAAGAGGATTCTACAGGCAAATATTGTAAACACCTTGTCTCCTAGCACTGAGCACCTTCCCTATACTGACCCAGAATACATGAAGAATAGTTCCTCAGCTGTCTCTTTCTCTGGCAGGCTATGATTCTCCAGTCTTAGAATGGCCTTCATTGTCAGTTTCTTGCATTTGCTTTGCTGTTACAGAGCTTCCCTGAGTTTGCTTTGCTCAGCAGGTGCAACAGCCTGCTAGGGAAGTTCAAAGTTGTTGACTGCCAAAGCCATAGCACTACATCTTCTCATAACAGAGAAGCCCCTGTCTGCTGCAGATGTTTTATAAACCGCAGCTCATCCGTATCAAAGACAGCTTCTGTCTCTTTATTTTTTACATTCATCCCAGACACAGTGGAGAAAGTGACTGTAGAATTTGCTTGCAAAATGTGTCACTGATCTCTCTTTCAGCACAACTTCCCCAAACAACTTAGCTGTGGAATGTCTTGGAACTTACATTTAGAAACATTATCAAGTTACATCACACCATGTGCCTGCAGGTTGGTAGTTGGGCCCTGAATTATATAGCTAAAATCTGGAATTTGTTTATGTAGTCTTATTAAAAATAGTAGCTAAAAACTAATCTATTTTTTATATCTATATTTACTCATTTGTAGTAATACCTCAGCATCACAGGAAAACTAGCAAATGCATACTATGTTTGGAAGAATACTTACATGACTTTTCAAAAGAAATTTATACTGGACCATGCCTGTTTCATGGTTTGTCCCAAAGTTAAGTTTGACTTTTCCTTACAGCTTCAGTGGAGTTAGCATTTCACTCTAATAGTGACCTTTACTCAACAAAAAAATCACCAGAAAGCCATCAGACAGTTTCTATCTGCTTTCTGGAACTACTCTCTGTTTCAGACCACTTTCTTGACTGTAACCTGGGTTACTGATTTGATGACATTCAATTTCAAATTTTCTCTGTGTTCATTTCAGATGTGCCCCTATTTGATAGAGTATGTCTCTGTCTCTATCTGCTTTTGTCTGCACTGGAATACTTAATGGTCAGATAGAACTGCATATCTCAAATATTCTTTCCCCTTCACTTTTGCAGAAAAAAACAGCTGAACAGTTCTGACTGATGTCTGAGGTCTAATTTCATATGTAAATGAAGAATACAGTAAGTGAGAAATAAGAGTGAAAATTACATGGGATGGGTAAGAAAGAAAAAGAGGAAAATTATGTAGTCTATTTTTTATCCCTTGTGGTTTCTTATGTTCTTTAGGGTTCTGTTATATGACTGCAGCAAACATAAAGAGATTTAAAATGCAAAGTTTGAAGACAGAAACAAGGAACCAAAACCACTGCCTGAATTTATGACACTTTGAGACTTTTTGGTGACAACAGTACATATAAAGCATCTCTAACTGTGCAGTAACTGCACTACTGCATAATAAAATGGAACAAGGAGCTTATTTACATTTCTTTACCATATTCTAAGAAGTGCCTCCCCTCATCTACGAGCATGTGACATGAGACACCATAAAATTTTGTTCTAGCTGTAATGAGCATCTCTCTATGAAAATTACTGAAATTGTCTTGAATCATATTGCTTATTGCTGATTATGTCTATCCTTAGAAGCCTTGGGCAGATATTTCTGCTTTCCACAATTTTTATAAGACAATTCTGAAATTATCAACCCAATTTTGCTTCACGTTATAAGTAGTAAATTTCTATTTTGATGCTGTAACCAATATGAAATGATAAGACTCAACTTTATGTGTAAGACAGTGATATAAAATAAGAGGGTAATAAGAACTTTGACTAACATGTGACAGCAGTCCTGAACTTCTGTTCTCTGAGCAGCTAGACACTGGAATAGGTCTTTAAATGTGCTGCACCAGAAAGTGTCAGGAAATACTAAAAGACACAAAACTATCCAGGGGATTTCCCACCTCTGGATTGATTTATTATTTTGGTTTGTAGTAAAGTAGATGCTCATTAGAACTATGGTATGTAACTTCACAATTTACATAAATAGATTTTTAAAAAGCATTAATTACCTTCAAAGATTTTTTTTCTTTTTTTAGCATTCGAATTCCCATTAGAATTTGCTGACTAGTACTTTTTGACTGACTAGTACTAGTACTCTTTGCTAAATCAGGGACAATGAAACATACAAATACTACTGCAGTTATTATGTCCAGTTCAAATATCGAGCGCAAATATATTTTATAAACTTGTTCTTTTAGGACCCTGGGGAATGGAATTCAGAAACTAATTTTATTTATTTGTCAAGCATCACCAATTTCTTTGGTATTAAAGAAATAAAAATAGCAATTTGCTTTACCTCTGAATCCCTTTACCTGCTTTACCCTGACTCCCACCCTCTGTCCTGGCTGGTTTCCTCCTAGAGGCCTCCTGTGGGCAGGCTGGGCTCTCTCACCTATGATGGGGACCACTGGTGAGGTTTCATATCACTGTAGTCTACGAGGGGTTCAATAGCTCTTCCAAAACTGGGCTGCTGTTCAGCATCTGCCACTGGACTCACAAAACCTGAACAGGGATCTCTTAAAGGCACAACATCCTGGTGTGAGAATAAAGGGTAATTCACCTCTACAGGAGGGCTGAGTAGATAAAATTTAAGGAAATAATTACTGTTTTTCTCTTCAAAGCTGGAAAAGCCATAATTGCTCTCAGGATCCCTGACAACAGGCATGCACATCTTCTTTAACAGGCTTGGATACTGTTGGTGATCATCTTGTCAACTAACAGCTAACAAATCACAGTAAAACTAGAGGTCATTCTCCAGAAAAACAGTGCATAGAAAAGCATCGCAGTGGGTTAAGAACTGAATTCTTTCCTGAAAAGAGATTTATCAAGTATGGTACAAAAAGAACAGAGCTATTGAATGTGCAGAATTTTTCCGTTGCTTGGTAATGATGGAAAACACCTTACAACGAAATGTCTCCTGGTGTGAAACATGGTTCACGAGTACCACTGTAATCCAGTCCTTCAAGGGGATATACACAGCAACTTGCAATGGCACTAAAAATTACTGACTCATCTAGTAGAGACAAAATGAAGAAGTTTTCAGTCTCACTGACAATCATATGGTGTTTTCATTGAAGAATTTTACAATAAGCTATTCTGTTTCTATAGAAATCACAAACATGAATTAAATTGCAACACAGATTTAACACAAAAAATGTATCAAACCCAACCACAGAGAAATGCAATCCAGAAAACTTAAAATTATTACTTGTAATAAGTAAATCACATTAACATCAGAATTTTCCATGCAGCTCAGTTATCTCCAGAACTTTGCCAGTTGTTCTATCAGATTGGTAAATCCACCAGTGTCTCAGCTCAGAATAAGCAGCATTCATTTCCTGATTCCAAGGTTGATGTATGCATTTAGCACTCTAAACAAAAGCAGTCTGATTTATAAGGGTCCTCTCCAAATGAATTCAGTGCCATCTGCAAAGGTCTGGCTCTTCAGAAAATTCAAACTATGTTTATTTGGACAGCTTAATTCAGACTATGGGGGCCTTTATTTTATGGCCTTGTCAGGAGAAACTGGGGAAGAGAGTCTGATAATTCCCTCATTTATGTTAGTCTCACACAGATGTAATTTCTCTGAAATCCTAACTTGCTGCTGATTAACAAAAAATTAGAAATGAGCCTAGAATTTATTATAGGATAGGTTTATAGTAATAAAAAGTTGTGTTCTGTGATGCAGAATCATGGTGGGGGTTTTTTTGAGTAGTTTGCTGATGGAGTAGAATAAAGAAGTAAATAAACACACCTTTTTTATCGTATATAGATCACAAGAACTAAAATGTGTAAAAAGTGACAACTGAGGATATTTTATATGCTGTATGGGCAGTGTAAGGCTAAGTCAACACTCTAAAGACACAGAACTCTGTCTGACACATCCTGCTTTCTATCACAGTTGTACATTCGCTTGAGTGAAATGAAACTTCCAAAATTTGACTTCTGTCAGTAATAAGCCTTTAAAATGCCATACTGGTGTCTATATTTACTGACAGTCTATAATCTCCATACCACATATAATCAGTTTTACACTATAAATTACATTCAGTATTGCAGTTTGAGTTTTTCCTCCATTCCTTCTTACCTCCTCCTGGAAATATTTAGAAAGAGATGACAGGAAAGGTAGACATGGGAACCAGGTAAAGCATAGGATGGAAGACATTGCAAGGATGACTCATTTTTTGTTGCATTCATTTTGTAGAGTAAAACGCAATTAAAACTGTACATTGGATTTCTGTCCAGTTTATCCTGAGAAGAAAACTTGCCAAGGAAGGCTGAATTATTTCTGCTGTCAATATTCTGAAGTGATCTGTGCTTTTAAAGAAGCACATGGATGAATTGGTCACATGTCCAAGCTAGTCCTCTTTGCTAGATGTCTGCCTTTTACTTTGCTTTAGGATTCCTGCAGAGCAGTCTTTTTTGCTTCTTTGACAAGAAACAGCCAGTTTCCCTCTCTGGCACAGTAACAACTGATACCAAATCTTTCCATAAAGAGACATTTTCATGTCAGACTTTATTTGTGTCCCAGAAAACAACTCGTGTCTTCCCCCTCCCCCTTAAAAAAATCCCTTCTCTACACTACTACACATTAAATACTCATATGCCACAGGAACATGCAAGTGTCCTGGGATTCCAGACACTTCAGTTGCTCCCTTGCAGCAGCGCAATGAAGAAGGAGCAGCAGAGCTGTAGGTGCTCATGACAGTGATTGGATCAGCGAAGTTCTTTGGCTCTGCAGTGGGAACTTGCTTGGTTGCCTTTTCTTAGGAACAACAGCCAGAAGTACGAGGCCAGTCGCCTGTGTCTCTGGCCGGGTGCAGTCCGGAATGCCGCAGGACTGGCTGTTTCAAAGGGGCTGCCCCTGGAGCGGCGATGGATTGGGATTAAGTAATTGTTCTCAGCGGGCGGGAGGATTTTGGATGGCGCTATGGGCGACAGCAGCAGCAGATGTTTCCCTGGGGTTTGAGGATGTGAAAGCCTCCCGTCCCGTGCCTTCCCTTCCCCGCTTTCGCCAGAAATGCAGAGCTTGGCAGTGCGGCTGGGAAAGCCCCGCCGCCGCCTTCCCCGCTGCAGTCCCACGGCAGGGAACGATGTGCCCTGAAGAGCCTGGCGGGGCACGGAGCCTCCTCCTTCTCCTGGGGCTGTTCCTCCTCCTCCTGTATCACTCCTCCTTCTGCTGCCCATCTTGCCCAGGCAACCCTGCGCCGGGCCGGGAGTTCGAGGCACAGGTCGCCCCTTCCCGGCTGAGTCCAAACATTAACCTGGCACTGCTGAGCCCACTACTAATCCGTGTCCCTTCACTTGGACACTTTGAACACTTCCAGGGATAGTGACTCCACTACTTCCCTGACAAGCTGTTCCAATGCCCGACCACCCTTTCAGTGAAGCCATTTTTCCTAATATCCTACCTAAACCTCCCCTGGTGCAGCTTTAGGTCATTTCCTCTGGTCCTGTCACTTGTTACTTGGGAGAACCCTCTTTGCAGCCTGGCAGTTTTAAAGTTGTGTTGCTGTCTGGGACATGCTTTTCCATAATACAGGAGCTCTGCCCTTTAACACCCAGCTTTACCCCTGCGGGTTTTGTTTTACACCTGCTGGTGCTTTTTCTGTCTACATTCACCAGATCTACCAGTGGGATTAAACTTCCTTTCCACAGATTTGGAGATTGATGCAGGAAAGCTAAAGAATTATCTAATTTGACTTCTCCCCCGCCCCGGTCTGCCCCAGATGAGCAGTCAGTGCTGTGGGGTGGGGTTTTTCTCCTTCCCATGTATCAAAGAACCTGCGTTATGGGGTGGGGGTAACACCACAGGTGAGTTGCATGGGCAGCGAGTAGCTGCTAATGTTGGTACCCGGCTGAAGCAGCTGCATCACTTGGTCAAAGGCTCTGAGGTACAGAAATAGTTATGTGTGAGGATACCAAGATTGTACATTTCTGGCATTCTAATGCTGATTTTGTACCCACTGTGTGTATACTCACAGCTGTCAGCAGCCATCGATGGTGAAATTCCGTCACACAGCCTCCTGAGACTGGGAAGGGCCTGAAATGACAATCTCTGCTTCCTACTGAGGTTTTGAAATTTGAACATGGTTAGTTGCTTAGGCTTTCTGATAGTATTAAACTAGGTTATTTAATTTGTGCATTGGTATGCATACGTGCCAGATCTTATTCTATGGCTTGGTTGTGATTGAGTTTTACCAATTTCTTTAGAAAGTCAAGGTCTTTTCCAGGAGTTAGATCAGAAGTGAAGTTCATAGTTCTTCTACTCCCTGACAAAAAAGGGAAAACCATATGCAGTATTTTAGTATATACTCCCTGAAATGTCAAAATATTCTTCTGTATCTGGTTTTACTAGGCATAATAGACATTGTCAGCTCCAGAAGAGACACTTCAATTTTATTGCACTTATTAATATAATCTGAATTCAGACTGATATAAGAACATGTTTTGTTTTGTGGGTTTTTTTAATTTTAATTTTTACTTACTAATGCTGACGGTTCTGGTGTATGTGTTTTTCCTTAAGTGAATAATTAAACTCTTTGACAACAATCTGAGTTTTCTGAGCCATCTTGCTGAAAATACACAAGGTTTTAAACTTAAGTATGCATTATGTTAAGCAAAAAAATCTCCTTTTTAACTTAAGGAATGCATTAGTGGTACAATTGTCAGAAAGAAAATATGAAGGCCCACTTGAAATCATAATATAGTTCATATCTTGTAGGCTTTCTGTCAAAAGGGTTAAAATTAACTGAGACAAATTAGAAACTGAAGTTCAGTTTCTCCCATATGACTTTAATATGACTAGTCATAGAAATGGTAATATTTGTGCACACAACAATGGTAGGCAGCTTAAAAATGCCAGCTGTAATTACACACTTGGATATAGAAAACTGCTTGACTATTAGCATGATTGAAACAAAAATAACATAAGTAAGTAGATCTGCTGTTTATATAACCCTCTGGTGCAGAAATCCCTTTACAAAAAATACCTCAAAACATAATTAGTTTGAAAAAACTTCTAGCAGTTATCATAACTTAAATATTTTCCTATCACTTTATAGAATTTTCATTTCTGAATAAATGGATTTGAATTGTGCCAGCTGAACATCATAGCAATAAAGAATTTTATTAATTAATGAATTGTTTAATTATTTAAGGCTCATTTTAAACTGTTTCCTGCCAATATAATTTTCTGACTGAATTTAATTCTCTGATAAATTATTGTGAAGATGATTAATTTTGCAACTGTAATGCTCATTTTAAGGCTAAAAGATTCAGAATAAAATATTTTGTGTAATTGTAGAATATACTTGATGAGAAAAGTTTCAGAGGGTGAATTTCCTTTCAACTCAACGGTCATAGGAATGAATGTTAATTCAATCAGTACTAATCTGCCCAGATTCCCCCTATGGGCAAGAAATGGGAAGAGAAGCCCTCTTTATCTGAGACTGTTGTAACTTTCTCCTCAGGGAGGAGCAGGAAGGGTTGTTTTTCTGTGCAGGTAAAACCCACCTGCTATCGTCATCTTGAACTGAGACTCTTCCCACTCTATGCAGAACCTGAAATATGTGAGCTCAATTTCTCTGACTCTAAATAGAATCTGCACAGCTGCCCAGATAGATTTTAAATGCATTGAACAGCATGTTGGCATCTTACACTTAGAATTTAACTCCCTTTTTGGCCTGTTTCAGTGGCATAAATTGGTAGTAAAGCTGCTGAATTGAACTCAGTCTGATTTTAAAGTTGCCCAATGAATCCTCAAGTAACAGATACTTTATATGGCAAATGTATTGTTTGGGGTACATTCCAGTCTTTAGGAATGGCTCTTCAGGCAGCTGGGAGGTTTGAACTACCCTGGATTTGGGGACGAATTACCCCAAACTTCTGTGTGTCTGATAGGGATGGAAACTATTTTTCTTCACCTGTGTTCTTCTGCAAAAGGAACTGTTGCTCACACCATGTATAATGCCCATAGGAAGTACAAGATGATGAGGAATCAGACCCTATATATTTTTAGTGTATTTGACCGCTTTAAAAACTTAATTTTGGGAATTAATCCAGAAACTCATTTATTTTGTTCAAAAATGACTGAAACAAATTACTTTTTGCATTGCTTATTAAGTACAGGTTCAGACTGATGGGAATGAATAATATATTTAATGACTTTAAAATGTGGTTTAAGCAGTTCCCTTTCATTTATTTTTTGTTGCTCTTTCTGTGGGATTTAATGAGCTCTTGATACTTTTTTTTTTTTTTTCCCTGTGGAAAGGATCTTTTTAACCTGGTCACATGCACTCTTAAAACAAGACTGCGAATGGGAAGCTTATTTGTCCTAGACACTGCTGCAGGAAGTACCATTTAAATTCCAAAGGAATTCCAGTAGGAAATCTAAACAAAAACTTTTGAAAACATTTTGAAGGACAGTGTCAAATGTTAGGGAAAGAGTGTAAAAGAGTTGGTGTTCATATGGGGACAGAAACATTTACTGAGTGAAATAACTGCTATGCAAGTGAAAGGTGTATAGACATGAAAGAGCATTTAAGCTGACTTTCACTCTAGCATGCAATGTCATTGAAGGCAGTAGGAAAGTAATTCCAGAAGTTTTCCATTATCTTCCTTTGGTAAATGTATTGCTTTCATGTTTTCTAGTTCTTTTAAAATAAACAGTTCAAGAGCTCCATCTTCGGGTTTAAGTTATTATTGTAAAAGAACATTACTTTCCTTTGTCATTGATTAGTTAGTGCCTAAACATCCTATAAAGTTATGTATATCTTATGTTCATACCCTGTCAGTTTGCAGTGTTTAACATGTCTAGATGCACTTGTTCAGTAGCCTTTTGATAAACTTTGAATACTTTCTTTATAATATTGTTGGTTTTAGTTCTTTTCTCATTAATTTATTTGGTTTTGGTGGATTGTTTTTCTTTTCCAATAATGGTATATAAATCAGCTTGACAGTTCATAAAATATTTATGGACCATGAGAGATAACAGTGGCAGAAGGAATTTTAAAAGAGGATAGTTTTCATGTAGGCTTTATTATTTGGTAGAAATTAGCATGGTTTTATTAAAATCAGAGCTTGTGCTGATTTTTGTCAGTGGGGAATCTGATCACATTATTTTGGGAGCAGAATTTTGTTTCTTCCAGTGCAGCAGAATTCTAAAAGACCTAAATATTCCAGTGAGAAATTTTTAATCCATTTTGTTTTTTAATAAAAAGCCTCTAATAATTCCTGGAGATCTTTGGGGAAAATAAAGTTATTTGAAATTTTTTGCTCTTCAAACAAAGTTAGGGAATTGGTACCTAGTGAAAAAATATTGCAAAGTAAATGAAACTGTTAATCACAGAAATTCACCATACATGACATACTTTTATCTCATTGCCTTCTCTCTCTTTTTTTTTTTTTTAAATCTTCCAAAGCTTTATTTCTTCCTACTTTCTAAGTATTTTCAATGGCATACTCTGCTGATATTCTGACATGACAAGTACGGGCAGTTTTTTTAACTAACCTTGATTGTCTTGTCCTTACAGCTGGAGAATTTGCCTTTCTTCTGTTTTCCATAACAACACTGAAGAGGAGTACAACTGCCATTTTTGTAATAAAAGGGGTGAATTGATAGTTACCCATTATTGCTTAAATCAAGATAAATCAAAAGAAAGCTGTGACTCGACCTCATCTCTCTCATTGTCCCCAACAAATGCCTCAATCTATAACCAAATTATGGAATTAGTTATTGTTGCTTTAAGTTTTTGTATCTAATCTAAGTTAGCAAAAAGCACTGATCTCGCACCACATAATTATTTAGCCCATCTTCATAAAATAATTTTTACTGATGTGTTCAGTATTTGAGACTTTCTTGTCCCTTGTTACTTACTTTCCCAGCTTTGTCCAAAAGAATTAGAAATCACAATACCTTAACTCCGTGCAACCCACGTTCTTTCCAGGCAGGAGGGGGAGACAAAGAACACAAAACGCTGAGATGATAATTGCTGTGGTTATCTTTCTGCTTGCTTCAATTCTGTATCTCTGAAAACTCTGTAAGAGAAACTCAGATCTGACTTGTACTGAAATGCCACCTGAAAGACACTCCAGTTTGTTTCCAGAAGCCTTGTATGTCTTGCAAAGCTTTGCAATCTTTATGAACATGTTTTAAATTTCTATTTAAAAGAAAAGCAAATTACAAT